AGTGGGAGACCGGGTGCAGCGACAACCACGGACGCTGGCTGCGTCTTCTGCAGCGCGGCGCGGTTCGAGCAGCTGAAGAACACGCGTCGCGGGGGCTTGGCAACATCGTACCTACTTCGTCTGCCGCAAGCGCATCGCGAGGAGGCTCTACAGCGCATCAAACTTCACGGTGGGAAGCAGCTGCAAAAGGACTTCGAGCTTCGAGTGGTCCGCCGAGAGCAGCGAACTCGCGACTCCCGACCTCGCCGTGGTGTGCGAGGCCAGTACAAGCGCAAACGCCTCGGAGATGCCTGGGGCCTCGCCGAGAAGACGGAAAAGATCGAAAGCAGGAGCCGAGAAACAGAGCCGAAGCTTGCAGACAAACGAGACAAGTCCGAGAAGGCAACGAAAAAGGACAAAAAGCACAAGCACAAGGACGAGTGAGCGGTGTCCAGCAGCAGAGATCGAATGTGCTCACAACGTTGCGGTGCGAGCTTGGCTCCCGCAACATAGTTCGGCTAGGAATCGACAGAAAACGAGCAAAGCTGCGAGATGAATATGATTGCACGACCACGTGGCCCTGGGGCAAGAGCGTGGCCCCACGTCTTTGCTGAGATAAGCACCGAAACTTGCTTGACAGACAGGCTAGGTTCGCAGCTCACCAGTCGGCTCAGCAACTCCACGCTTGGCACAACTTAGAAGATGTCGAAGTGGAGCGATCCAGCCATGTCACAGGCGCAGCACGCCGACCCGTCCACAGTTCCTGTCAGTACGCGGTCGCGGAAGGAATCCGAGCCGAAGACGGAGCTCTCCGAGGAAAACGACACGCTGGTCCCGACAGCTTCCGAAAGCAAGGTGCGGGGCCTAAAGCGTGCCGGTGTAGTCCAACAGCAACTGGCAGGGCAGAAGACGACGCCACGGACCACACGACCGCCCGAATGCGCGACGACGACGTGAGGCCGGCAGGAAAGGCATGACGCGGGATGGAGAGCAACACGCACGATTCGTGCAGGCTGCCATGCAAGCCTACCGCGACATGACAGTGTATCCCGAGACAGACGACGAGGCAGACGGAAATCGTCGAGAGGTCTATCGCGGCAGCCTCAGAGCATCTAACAACAAGGTCAACGGCGTTGGCGGTCTGCACTCCGGCTTGCAAGCCTGGGTCCAAGTCATCTGTGGTGGCGCAACAGACGCGGTGGCGCGCATGAATGAGAACACACAGGCAAATTGGTAAAACTCCAACAATCTCTGACCGATCCACTGGCGGACTGAGCGAGTTATGGCAATAGTACCATGGCCTATGTTTGCAATCCAACATATACACACACACACACGAATGTGTGTATGCTTGCATATAAATAAATAAATAAATAAATATATATATATATATATATATACATATACACACATACAAATATACACAGACAAAAAATCAAATGTTTATTGAATATAATTATATATCACATATATATATATACACATAACAGATAGATGGAAAGATGGACAGATGGATGGATGGATGGATCATGGATGGATGCATGGATGGATGGATGGATAGACGGATAGATACACAAATAGAGAGTGTATGTGCTTATGCATAAACCGCTTATATATCTTTGTGTGCATGCAATAATATAAGTAGCACGTGTATAGAGCGCCGCACTTGCACATTTGTCCATGTGTCTGTCTGTCTGTCTGTCAGTCTGTCTGTCTGCCTGTGTGCCTGTGACTCTGCTAGCCAGCCATCCATCCATCCGTCCATCCATCCATCCATCCATCCATCCATCCATCCATCCATCCATCCATGCAGCAAGACGTGCATATTGATGGATGGACAGGGCCGGCAGACACGTGCTAGTGTAGATTTTTTCCCAGGCTTCATCTTTCCAGCGCCCCAGCCTTCCTATGGAGCACAGTCGTACAAGAGGACCGGGGCTCTTATCAAAGTGCCGTTGAGGTTCCGGGGTTCGAAGGTTGCCCGGGTCGATGCAGGTTCGGAGTTTGCCAAAGCGTGATCTGTTTGCTGCCACAGCTCTGCGAGGAATTTGTGTTGGATCCCTTGGAACAGCGTCGGCCACCGAAAGGGTTCAGGAAGGAGTCCTGCGTGGCATGGTTGAAACGATTGATGGGGTGCCCATGACGACGGCGATGGCTGCGATGGTAATGTTGGCATTCTCGGGCGAGAGCTGTACCCGTAGTCACGACTATGCCTACACCTATAGTCTAACGGCACTGTCATGAGGATCCGCTGACGCCCTGGTTGATGATGACCTCTGAACCGTGAGTGTCATCAGATTCCGAGGTCATCTCGCCCAAGCGCGTCGGGGAGGAGAATGCCAGCGGCATTCCCTGCCTGTGGCCCTCGACCCAGTGCCTAGCGAGGTTTCACCTTCTCTGAAGAGACCTCTCTTTTCATCCCTAAACACTAAACCTTAAACCCTTCTTTTTTTTGGATGTGGTTTTGGTATCTTCGCTTTCGGAGGTTCCCGGCGCCCAAGGCCGGGAAATCTTGTGTTGGCTGAATCCTTAGACATCGCTGGGAACCTTCTTTGCCCGAAGCTCTCCGCAGGCTGCCACGGTGATCCTCTTCTTTCATGCCAATGCGGAGGTGCCTCGAGTAGTATAGTATAGAAGGCTACAAAAACCATGTTTCAGAAGAGCCTTTGCGGTTTTTTTGGGTCCGACGGACGGGATGCCTTGCCCAGGACCTGGGAATGTCCTTCGCGGTGCTCCGCCACATCAGGGATCAGTTCAAGGCCGCAGAGTTCTTCGCAGTCGTCCGAGAGCTTTCAGACCCCTTTTGCGCAGGTGAACGTCCTGGCCGTGGAGCGACCTGACTCTACCTGGACCCTTAAGAACCTCCCTTTTTAGGGTTCCTGATTATGCGTGACGACCATCGTCTCACGACTTGCTGTTAAAGTGGTCCGTGAGACAGGAGCTCATGGCAAGAGTCATGCATCGCCGCTTCATATTCGGATGATCATCAGAAACGCCCGAGTCGCCATGCGTATCAGAAGGGGAAAGTGATACTGAGAGAGGTCGCCGAAGTTATGAAGCCCTCGCGCCCTGTCAGGTACCCCGGCTATGGGCTGCTTCACCACATGGAGCCGTCAGAGGTGGCTTTTCAGTTCTCTTAGGAGATTCCTGGGTTCCAGGGCAGAAAGGACAGATTCCTGGCAAGTTCTCCATCTCTCAAATCTTGGCCTTGTCGCCTCTCTTCTTTTTTGTTCTTTCCTTAAAGCCTGAACCCATAGAAAAGAAGAAAGTCATCCTGCTCTTCTGCTCCTTGCAAGCTCCTTGCATGAAGTCAGCATGTCTCTGCTGAGCTGCGAAGGATGCCGTTTACGAGGTCGCCCTGAGCTCAGAGAGGGGCGGACGTCAGTTTGATTTTGTAGGGTCGAACCCCACATTCTCGACCGAGCAGCAATTCGAACTCAGGGCTTCGAGCCTGGGGTTCTGGGCTTAGGCGCTGACCGCCTTCCGTTTTCTGGTGGACGAGATCGGAGTGAGATACTCCCAGATCATCCTGTCCGGATCCCCGGCCTCCTCGTTCCCTCCCCCGTGGCCTCCGCTGCATCTTTGCTCGCTTATGATTTGTGCGCTGCAGAGCCACGTTCTCGGGGGGGGGGGGGGAACCATGTAGCACGAGAGCAGCCCCCGACTTTCCTCGATGTTTTTCAATAAGCCCCCACAACTCGAGCTTGGCTTCACAGGGGCTGCCCTCTCAGTTCCCGTCGGAACAGAGATGAACAGAGTCTTCAGGAAACCCACATACAGCCCCAAACCAGAACAAAGGAAACCCTAAACCCTATAAACCCTAAAACCCTAAAGCCCTAAAGCCCTAAAGCCCTAAAGCCCAAAGCCCGAACCCAAAACCCCCTAAAGGGGGAGTTTGAAGCGGACTTCAGTCCTCGCCCCCCGAAGTAGCCCGCGGGTCCTCAGGTTTGGGAGATCCCTTGGCAGCGGACCAGCGGTCTTCCTGGCTGCCCAATACCCGGTGGGAGGCCCTTTGGGCGGGAGCCCAAACAGAGCATAGCATAGGATACACAGCATCTCTAGATAGAGATAAAATGTGTGTGTGTGTGTGTGTGTGTATGTGTATATATATATATAATATGTATAGTTATGAGTGCAGAATAATATACACATACACGTACATATATGTTCAAGTACAATGGAATAGAGCCTGTATATGAGACCTATAGACCTCTTGCACAGCAGACTGCACCCTCCTTTCGTAAATCTTGTCACCGTCAGGCCTGATTTTGGTTTCGGCTTTCTCCTCCATCAAGGCCGCGGTACAGAGTATCGTGGGGCCCGTGCCTCAGCGGTGCCATGCAGCTGCTAGTCAATGTCTCAGCAAGAAGTGTCTAGAGTGTTTAGGGTGTTGGGGATACCGACAAGCCACACTGCGAGTTGTATGTTTAGGAGTCTTCAATTGTGCTGCATCGGAACCCGGCGGCATGCCGTAAGCTAGTGATTACGTCTCATGCTTTCATGACGATGTAGTACATGTGTCTTGCCTTGCAGGTCACACTGCCTTCAAGCATTGCAAATGCAACCCACTCCTTTGCATTGCTGCTGTGCAGCGGGGCACATGCCAACGCTTTGCATTCCACTATTGCGCGTTCGATGATAATCTGTTACTTTTGTCCGAGTTTTTTCGTATCGCTTCGTGTTCTTCAGATTTATTCAACGCACGGCTGTTGAGGCGTGTGGTCGCGTGGACCTTTGCGGAGCGCTTCCCCAACGGCCGTTCGGCAACACAAAGAAGCTCTGACTCCTAAAGCCATGTTCAGGTGTGGATTCAGCGCTTTCGAGTTACATGGGCGGCCAAAAGTAGGGCTCCTTTTTCTTCTTCTTCTGTGGTTGCCTTAGCCTTGTTTGTCTTGAACTTGTGATCTTGCTCAGCAGCTACCTCTGCTCTCCTGATCCGAGCTTGAAGGGTCTTGCCTGCGTGGTGGGGAGGAGGAGGGGGCGGTTGCTCCGGTAACACGCGAGCGACCACGACCGCCGATGCTACTCCCACGACCACGGCGAGGACGACGACTACTGCTACTGCTACTACAACTACGACTACTACGAGTAGCAGCTGCAGTCATAGTGGTGGTCCTGCGCCTGCTCCCCATTTCCTACTGCTGCCGCTGCTACCGCTGCCGCTGCTGCTGCTCCTCAGGTGGTGGTAGTGGTGGTGGCATTGTTGGGATTGCTGCTACTGCTGTTGCTGCACCAGTTCTCGCGTATCGGGCAGTCAGGCAACGTGCACACAGACAGTTGCCAGTTGCGCACGCTTGTTCGCCCCTCTGAGGTCGGATCATCGCGAACGTGTGGCTGGACTTGACTTGGTTCGTTTATTCCGACGCTTTTAGGGTGCGATGTTCAATACACCGTACCTCTGCGGGGACTAGCCTTTCGGAGTATTCTTGGATCCGAATCCAGGTCCTGCTCCACACTCTTCATCCACGGGGAGTCCGACAGCCAGGATCCTGGGCCGGCGGAGTTCACTGAACTGATTCATGTGACGATGCCCGCATCCTCCTTGAGTGTCAGGGTCATCGGGAAATCGGCTTGTTGCTATGATGAAAATGATGACGAGATGAGGATGATGGTGAGGATGACGGTGATACTGACGCTGGTGGTCGGCGTCGTTGTCATCCGGTCGTCGTCCGTCATCGCCTACGGACTATGAGGCTTGATCCCAGCGGAGCATTCGCTGCGGCTTTTCAAGCGCTGCCCGGAACCCAGACGGCAGGAGTCATGCAAACTGACCTCATTAGTCAAAGCCCGCAGGCCGTGCACGCAAGCTTTTAGTCACGCCGCCGAAGATGGAGCACAATTCGAATCTCTTCGGCTCGGGACCTGGTGAGAGCTGAGCACACCGTCGTCCAGCAAGGGTTGGGCCGCCCCTTTTTCGCGAGGTGATGCATCGTTCCTGGCAGTGCCAGCAATCCACTTCTTCGGATTCCCTGGTGCCTCGTCTCCGAACTCCTTACCCGAGGCCGAGGGCCCCCCCCCCCCCAAGACTTGTCCAATTCTGGCCAGGCTACTACACAGCTTCCCCGCCCAGAGCTCGGCTGAGCGGAGCAGCGGTTTCCCTCTGGCGTCGACAGAGCCCTCTTTCTCGCAGGCCTCGGTTGCAGGCACATCTCTTTGAAGATCCCGCCAAGAGAGCGCCGCGGCCTTGGACTTGCTTACGCTGGAAAGCTCTGACAGTGGCCCCCTCCAGGCGGCTACTCAAAGAGAAGAACAAGCAGGCGACCTCGGCGACCTGCCCTGCCCTGTTGCTGCTGGCAAGCCGCAGCACGTCGGCGCCCGGCAGGAGCCCCTTTCCTCGCTCACAAAGCCTTCCTGGCTTTGTGCCGGGGTCCCAGCCGAGGTTGCACTGCGCGCGCACACTGTTCGCAGACATGTAGAGTCAATATACCGACTAGCAGAGCTCGGAGAAGACTTGAAAGCCTCATTTTTCCTGAGGACTGCTTGGCCAAGGGGGATGCTCAACACCTGGATGCCCGGATGCCTGGAAGCTCCGCTCTGTGCGCAGCCCTCTGCAGTGAGTGGCAGCAGCCGAGGTGACCTTCTGCAGACAGGAAAATTCTGTCGAGGAGAGGGAGCTTTTTTTCTGGCCTTCTGATCCCAGCACAGCACGGAAAAGCTGATGTGGGAGGATATCACCATCCGCTTTCACGAGCCTGGGCCCTGTACTTACGCCGTGACCGAGTGTGCGGAGTGGGCAGCCGAGGGCCTCCGCTCCGGGGGATCCGAGTCAGATCAAAGGCTCGGGCCATCCGAGTTCTCGGCGTGCTATTGTGGAGATGAGTCATTCTCTAATGTCATCACATTATTTTTGGTTCACAAAACGGAGCCTTTTTGTTGCACCAGGAGACCTCGGGGACCTCCAGCCCTCGGATGAGCCGCCGGCGAGCGAGAAGGTGGGGGCTCTCTCAGACGTCGGGGGAGCAGGTGCTTCCCTTGGTTTCGGAGCCAGGCGCCGCTGAAGCCGCAAAGTCATCCTGACAGATGCCTGGCTGCATTTTATTCCGGGCCTCGGCTCTGTCATCCTCGTGCCTCAGCCGCAGCAAATCGCAGCAAAGGTGCTGCAGACAAGGAGAACGACAAGGCGCGAACGGGGTCGTCGATCCGTTCAGCGAAGAGCAGAGCAGTAAGCACATGCTTTTCCTCGAGAGGACGCCGCGCTCTTCCAACAGGAGCGACAGGAGAGGGAGGAGCGTGACGGCGCCGACCCCAGGAGCAAGTCAAGGAGCGCGTGTGCTTGTTTTGTTACAAAGTTATAACCACCATAATCACACCCCGAAGTCTCTAAGTCTTAGTGATCAACGGAGCGACTTGCAACATGTTTCACCGCCAGCTTTTTCTTCTTGAGAAATCTTATTTATATTCATTATAGTGCCGTGCTAGAAACTTTGGACGTTGTCGATGTACCAAAATGAAACGGGACCCTGTTTGCATCGAAATCTCGTCGAATGAGCCACACATCATGCCTTCCGATTGCTAGGCTCATCACCGCAGTCTTCGTCACTCTGCCGCTGTTCCCATACTCCCACTCCTACTCCCTCGCATATTACTGCTTCTGCGGCGCCACGACTGGGATTCGGCACTCCGCGAAATACCCCTTCCCCACAGTCCCCACACCCTGCAGGCCCCCCGAAGTCAAGAAAGGACCCCTCAGGCGCAGACTCCCTAAACACCCTAAAACCCTGAAGCCCTAAACCCTAAACTTCCCTAAACCCTAAACTCCTAAACCCTAAGAGGAGAGACGGACGGGGGGGGCGGCGCCCGGTAGGAAAGTTCCGCCCTCAGAGTCGTTTTCTGCCCCGAGGCCTCGCTGAGTTGAAGGTGGCCGAGGACATCCCCCTGGGCCCCGAGCCGCGTCCAGGGGCCCAGAGAGACGGCGGGTTCTTGGAGGGCTTCTCTAGATGGGACTTTCTAGGGTTATTAGGTTTTTAAGCGGTTTTAGGGTTTGAGGGTCTCCCCTCCTCTCCCCTCCCTTCTCTCCTCTCTTCTTCTTCTTCTTCTGCTTCTGCTTCTGTTCCTTCCACGACTAGAGGCTCGCCGGCGCCGGAGGACGGGAGCAACGTCGTGATGTCCTATGCCACGTGAATGCTCGAAGCGGTTGGGCTCGGCGCCGGGCACCTTCCTGTTTACGGCATGATAATTAACATCTAGAAGACTCTAGAATCCCTTATTATTTTTGGCTCATACAAAGAGAAGGTAAGCCATGAAAGCGTGTGTGGCTGCCCGGCACCAGAATCAGAAGGGCTCGCACGGACAGCTGGCCGCGGGGCGCAGGGCCGGGAATCGCCGGCTCGACTCCGCGGCGCCCCAAAGGGAGAAAAAGGGGGGAGCTTCGGCTTCGCCCTCTCCTTTCGAGTTTCCGGGGGCCTATCGACTCCCTGAGTGTGTCACCCCGTCCGAGGATAGTCTGGCGTCGTAGCGGCCGCAGCGCTTGCGAAAGCAAGTTTGTGGGCATCTGCGGAGCCAAGTATACCTGAAGTGTGGAAGACGCCTAGCTTCATCTGCTCCGAGATTTGCCCGCGAGTTGCCGGTGTGGCCGTAGCCAATGCCATGTGGAGTCGAAATCCGGCACTGTTCCTCAGCCTCTTGAGCTCGTTCTTCGTTGATGGCGAGTGGGGATTCCGAGCTCACTTGCAGCACACCTACTCAGTAAGCACCTAAGCAGTCTCAGAATGTGGATTCCTTGTTACTTTTGGGTTCAAGATATTTCTGAAATACTTGACCCCGATCTCGTACAGCAGGTCAGTCAGCATCAATTCACATAAATCCTCTTCCAGCAGCAGACCTACACAACGTGTCCACGGATGCATGATGCTCTAGACTCAAACCTAGACGGTGGAGGAGATGCAGAATCTGATCCGAATGAGAGGAGCTCCCTGGGCCCCTGCAACATGGCGCCACGCTGACTCCAGGGCACCTGCGCAGCCTTGCGCCGAGCACTGCAGAATTTGACATGTTGGTAGGTTGCACAGGGCCGTTGGCCGTTCAGTTTGATCCTGCTTTCTACGCAAGCTTGCTAGATCCCCACTTTTCACGCTACTCCGGGAACACCTGCTTCCATCTGTTTACAGGCGTTTCGATCTGCGTGCCATTGATGTTCCGCGCAGCCGGCAGTGAGTCCTTGGATGGCTTGCAGCAGCTCTGGAACTAAAAGGTTCGCGTGCAATGCATCTGTCAAGCATCCCCGACATAGCCTGGACACAGTTGATGGTCCCTCCGACAAGGAACCTCAAGTGGGACACATGACTCTAAAGACTCTGAAGAGAAATCGCTGCATCCAACCAGGCGAAATCCAAGAACCTTCGGAGAAAGACTTCGCCAGGTCTCGGGCGAAGCCTCCAGCATCGTAGTTCTTGACGACCACCTGTATCATGTGGATCTCGATCTTGTCCTGTAAGGCATCTCAGTCTCCTTTTTTTGGGCCTAGACATAACTTTTTCCTGCGTGCACACATCCCCTCTGCCTAGCCCAGCAGCCCCGGCCCAGCCCGGCCCAGCCCAGGCGAGCCCAGTCCAGCCCAGCCCACCCAGCCCAGCCCTGCCCTCCCCTCCCCTCTCCACTAACGACATCAAGAGAAGAAAGCTGCACATGGCGTGAAATTTACGCCCTGGTGCATGCACTCCTAATGGAACCAAAAATTGCGAGTCTGCAGCCAACGGTCCTGAAGGCCGAAAGAAAAGCCGATGGTTTCATCAGCTTTCGGGGCTCGGCACCCAAGCAAGCCCAAGCACAGCTTGTGACAGCGGGCCTTTCCTTTTGCAAGACCTGGCCTGTTCTTTCGGCATGGGGGCACCTCTGTCCTTGTGCCCAATTCAAGCGTTTGAGTGCGCAGTGTTGAGAAGATTACTCTGAGCTCAGCTGCACGGCGACTCCCAACGAGGTTGAACAAAGACAGCTAGCTTGCCTGTCCGTGCTGGCAAGCCTAAAACCGTACACCAAACCCCAGCAACCCCGACATGTAAGCTGTTCGCGGCTCCTATGGTGGCCCCAGCTGCTTTCGCGTTGGTTTCAAGCCAGCGATTGGGTTTTGAAGCTAAACCCAAAAGGCCGAGAACCGCTGCTGCCCAAGTCGGGCGTCTCCGCCGTGATGTCCTCGAACTGGCTGCCTCCAATTTCGCTGGCCAGACGAGTGTAATTAGGTCCAGGGCGTCTGTTCCTCGCCGTGTTTTCCTGCTAAGCCACTAAGCTCTCCAGGACCTCCTCCCTGGGAGAAGCCCTTCGTATCTTATAGCTGTTCTGGGCTGATTCACCGGCAAACTTCGGCTCAAGGCTGAAGACAGCAAGCAGCTGGCGAGAAGCATATTGGATAAAGGGTTGTGCTAGAAGATGTTGTAGCCCTTCTTGAGAAAAAGCCACGTCCTCACTTCTGGAGACTCTGCCTTCCATCCCCCTTCGCAAGCATCCGACCTTTCCGAAAGCAACGGCCATCATGGAAGGGAGGTGGTGAGACATTTCTTAAAGGAGTTTATTGGGAGGTCTATAGACTATAGGGGTCCACCGGATCCATGGCAATCGCGGCCTGGCCATGGAGGAGCCACAAGGACAAGGCCGGGAGCTGGGCCATGGGGGGGGGGTGTTTTGGGGGCGGACGGGTTCCATGGGGAGGGGGAGAGGGGCTCTTGCGGGCTTCGTGTGCCCACCATGGTTCCTTTTTCTTTTCTCCGCGGCAGCATCCAAGATCTCATCGCGAGTTGTTAGCTTCGAGGGAGCGCAGTGCCAAGCATCCAGAGACATGAACCCGCGCTCGTGCGCTGCCTTCACGTCGTGAGGCGGAGGTACCCACATGCAACGCAACGCCGACTCGCACTCTTGTTTTTGCTAGCAGCGGCTACAGTTGGGCTGCCCTTCTGGTTCACGTTCATTCGGACACAGGCCTCGGCCCCGAGCGCAGCGGCCGCTTCAAGGGCGTGGAGGCGCTCGCGGGCGCGCGCGGGGGCGGCCGCAGGTTTCTTAGATCAGGCTTTTGTTTGTTTGCAGCCCACGAAGCTGAAGGTTTTGGCTCCGATGGTGAAAGGCTGGGGCGCCTTTGCTCGCGTGGCATTCTTGTGCAGTCCTGTGATTTGCCAGGGGGCACCTTGCCTCTGCGGCTGGAGAGTCTGAGGATCGGCGACTCTGGTGTCTTGTAGTCTCTGCTGCCTTGTTCCACATGCAGGTATGGAGCAGACCTCGTGTGGGGTGAGGCCCGGGACACCGACGAAAGCTTCGACGGTACGCTTGGAAGTTTCAGGAGATCATCGACCGCAAGATCATCGGGGCCGTCCGCACGGACGCTTGGCCGCACTTTTCCCGCTTCGGTGGCTCGGCTCACGCTGGCTGAGTAGAGGAGAACTCGGCCTTCGGCGTGGTGGAGTTCGTCTCCCCAGATGAGTTCGGGCCTGATTGGAGATGAGAGACCTGCTGCGTTTTGCAACAGCAAGCAGATGACGCCCGCTTTTGCCCTGTCAGTCTAGCTGTAGATTTGCACAGCACCAGTAGTCGAAGCACTGACACAAACACCACACACTCCTTTCCTAGAGTCCTAGACAACTGCGAGGACGTCAGCAGCAGTAGCAGCCAAGTAGGGACAGAGAGTGACGTTCAGTCAGCTTTTCCGCCCGAAGGGTGCCATGCAGGTGCTCGGAATGCAAGGAGCGAGGAGCGTGGTACGAGGCCTCGCCAGTGCTGCTCGCCCGCCCAAGTCGCCGCACCTTCACAAGCGCCCCAGCGCTCCAGGCACCGTTGCCGTGTCCCCCGCGCCGGCTCCGCCCAGATCGCCACCTCCAGCTCCGGGCCCTCCGGGTGCGCCTCCTACGCCGGGTACCCCTGCCGTGGCAGAGGCTCCACCAAAGGACGTGGAAACTCTGCAGCCGCAGAAGACGGAGAAGACGGAGACGGAGCCGCAGCGGTATGGGCCCTTGGACGTGAATCTAAAGCCTCGAGACCAGCTTCGCCCTCTGTTGCCGACTTGGAATCCACCTCCCACTCGGCGGCCCGAGCCCGACGAGCTCGAGGTGAGCACTCGGCTGCGGTTCCTCTTCGAGGAGCGCTGGTGGGCGGCCACTGTCCGGGAGGCCTACGAAACGGAGCTGCGCGTGGGCTTCGACGGTTGGCCCAGCCGCCACGACCAGATCGTCCCTCGCAACAGCGGCCGGCTCTACCTTCACGAGTCCGTGCACCCAGACTACGAGGCGCCGAGTGCAAAACCCGCTTTTGAGTGAGAGAGACGGAACCTGCCCACCTCTCTCGCCCCCAAGTTGAAGCAACTCGGATCGAAGCGCGTCCTCTTCCTTTAGACCTGCGGACCAGGCGCCCCCAGCGCCGCAGCGCTTCCAGCGGCCCACGGCCACGGATGCTGAGGGAAATCCGCTTCCGGCGCTGCCCCGGGCACCGAAGCCCAAGGTGGGAGTCCGTCATCAGCTTTACGGGAACCGGGCATGTATAGTCGTGCACAGAGTGCATCTGCCATCAAGCTGAATCAAGCCTGTAGGTCACAGAGTCTCAGGCATTCGCCTGCTTTCGCCACCAAGGTCTATGACCCCGAGAAGGAGCGCATGAAGCGGGCTTTGAGACCGCCGCTGCCCTTCAATCCGGAGAAGGTGACGCAAGAGAGAAGTGAGAGCAGAAGCGGAAGAGGAAGAGGAAGCCAGGAGTACTAACAATGACCAATATTTATGGTAGGAACAAGAAAATGAACACTGGTAAGTAGACAGGGAAGATGAAAAGCAGCAGCAGCAGCGGCAGCAGCAGAAGCAGCAGCAGCAGGAGTAGTAGTACTAGTAGTAGCAGTAGTAGTAGTGGTGGTAGTGGGTTCAGTAGCAGTAGCAGCAGTAGCAGTAGCAGTAG